TCACGCCAATTCCTTTCAACCCCCCTTCTACCACCCCTCTCTTTGTAGATCCGACCCCAATTGGACTTAAATAAGAAGACCCAGTCCAAATGTCACTAGAATTGGTGTGCAGCCCAACTTTAACGGCATCGGAACCAACCCAAATCACTCCGGATTTGAGAAACTCAGCCCTTGGCTCGCCAGAATATGCCTTAATCGCGTCAAAATCACAAAACCCAGCCTTAAGGGCATCGGAATTTATGGGTCCCCCTCCAATTCCGTCAGAATTTGCCTCTATAGCACCGGAACCAGCCCCTTTCACGGCGGAATTGCGAGGCCCAGTCCAAACCGGGCCGGAATCAGCCCCAACCTTGTCGGAAACAACCTCAACAGCCTCAGAATCATGAGACCCGCTCCAAATTTGGCCGGAATTTTTGAAAACAACACCAATCTCACCGGGATCAGTCTTAATGGAGTCGGAACTGGAAGATCTGGTCTTGCCTTCGCCGGAATCCACATGAATCTCGCCGGAATCAGGTGACCCAGTCCTAACCCGGCCGGAATCTGCCCCAACCATGACAGACTCACAGCTGGGTTCCCTGTTCAGGGTACCCCTGCCGTCCCAGCCCCGGAGCAAGCCTCTCTTCCTCTAACTCTGGCTCCCACTCCGATTCCCGTCGCCGACCAAGCTCCGCCTCCTTCTCCCGACGGTTGCGACCTCCTTCGGCCCTCCTCTCGTCGTCGAACCAACCTTGGCGCTGTAGATCCAGACCACCCAGCCCCAGATCGTGACAGATCTCGCACTCCTCCATGAGACCCACGTCTCTCCGGCATCAGAACACCCTCTCGCGGCCTCAATCTTCGCGAATCGGCGCTTCCCGGCGAAGATCCGCCCGATTTGGCACCTCCACTCCGCCTGGGTGGTCGCAATCTGGGCTTTCCTCGCCCCGAGGCACGCGATCTCACCTCTCCCTGTCCCGTCGTTTGCCGTCGCGACCCCACTCGGCCTCCCCCGGCCATCGGCCGCGCCGCCAGCAGTGCCTCCATCCTCCGCAGCGCTGTCTGCACGTCTTCCAACTGAGTCCGAACCTTCCCCAGTTCACCACGCAGCCCAAGCCACTTCA